CGGGGTCTGGGACGGCGGAGGCCCGAAGCGGCGCGCTGTGCGCGCCAGTTGAAAAAAGCACCGGGGAGCCGGGAGAAGCGGGGGGCCGTATTAAATCCTACCGCGGGCCGCATTTGGCCCGCGGGCCGGACTTTGGACATGCCTGGTCTATAAGGTGCCACAGGACTCCTTGTCGCTTTTGTTCAAATTAAGTTGATCAGATGGTAGGTTACAGGAGAATTTAAGACACCCTCTATAGCAGGAGTCAGCAACCTTTTCAAACCAAAGAGCTAAACTACATCAAAATTCAGACCAAGTGGTCAACAAAGGGATCTATAAGAATGCCCATTTGCATGACTGAAAATATGCATCTTAATATTACTGGTAATTGACAGAATGATTAATAATATCATAAATGAAACATCGTACTCAAGGACTTTAAGAACAGCCATACTGGGTTAGACCAAAGGTCCATCCAGTCCAGTACCCTGTCTGCCAACAGTGGCCAATGCCAGGTGCCCCAGAGGGAGTGAATTGAATCAAGCCATCTCTCTCCTGCCATCCATCTCCACCCTCTGACAAACAGGCTGGGGACACCATACTTTACCCATACTGGCTAATAGCCATTTATGGACTTAACCTTCATGAATTTATCTAGTTCTCTTTTAAACCCTGTTATAGTCCTAGCCTTCACAGCCTCTTCAGGCAAGGAGTTCCACAGGTTGACTGTGCACTTTATTTAATGAGACTTCTGCTGCTGCATGTTTTTGCACATTTTTTTTGAAGTTTACACCATAACTGGTCAAATCCAACTTCACGCACACATTCAGGCTGTCTTCTGTCAATCTTATGGCAAGGGGCTGGGTATGTGGGGGTGCAGGGTTGGGATGTATGAGGGACTTAGAGCAGGGGTTTGGGGTGTATAGTGGTGCAGGAGTGCTGTGGCAAAGGACTGGAGATGTGGGGGTGCAGGAGGTTAAGGTATAGGACAAGCTCAGGGCTGGTGCATGGGGGATGCTGTAGTCAGATGGGGGCTGGGCCCCAATTGGGGACTTGTTGGCCTGGCTTTACTTTTAAATAAAGTAAAATATGATGTCTAACACAAAAGGTTTTAACATTGTCTTTATTTATGGAAGGAATGGGGAATAGAAAAATCAGTGGGGGACCACACAAGTGGGAAGCAAAAAAACCTATCCTTCCAAAACTCCCCAACCCTCACTGATGTGGCCCCATCTGAGACACCTCACTTCTCTGGCACTCCAGCCCCATGGGGGGAGGGAGAGAGGAGGACTGAGATTCAAGGCCTCAGGCCAGATTAACTCCTGTGGGCAACCCTTAGGCTCTGGGGTGGAGCAAAAAATGGGGGATCCAGTGTGCGGAACAGGGCTGCTAGTGAGTGGCATAAGGATGGGGGTGCAGAATCTGAGTGGGAGGTAGGGTACAGGAGCAAGCTAGGGTAAGTGTCTGGCTGCGGGGGAGGAGGCAGGAGCAAGCTGGGGATGTGTCAGGAGCAAGGGGGCAGGAACAGGCTGTGGGTGGGTGTCTGGCCAAAGGAGAGGGGGCAGGAGCAGCTCCGCAAGTACCCGCTGGTCACCTGGCATGAGTATCTCTTGAGCAGTATTTGCAGGCAGTGCTGGAAGAAGCACATCTACCACTCCTTTAGGAAATCCAGCGGCTCCTCGTCCTCAAAGACCATTTTAGCCGCCCTGCCCCCCCCCCCCTTGCTCAATGTGCATCACCACCATATCCTGTGCAGCCAAGTACACTTTCTCTGGTGATCACCAGGCAGAGGGAGGCCATGTAGCTCCCGTGTCCCACCTCCCTGGAGCACGGGGGAAGGTAAGGTGGATAAGGAAGCACGTGAGTTGCTGTGGGGAGAGGAGGGGAGGAGCAGCACATGCTTCCCTGCAAGATGGATTCAGCACAGAACCTTCGGGCTTCCTTCCTCCACCCAAAAGAAGCTGGTACTGGCTTCAATCTTGAGAGGGGCATGATGCTGGATTGCCAGTGCGGGCTCTCCGTTGCGGGGGGGGTGGCAGCCTTGAGCTGCAGGAGGGCTCGCATTGCCAACCCATGCTCTACAGAGTTTTAAATTGTATTTACCATGCAACTAGTGACATATATATTTAAAGACCACTGTGCTAGAACAGAAGTGTTAACTAACCATTACATTGATGAGCATCATTAATGCGCCACTATAAATAGCTATAACGGGAGACAGTTCAGCTGCCTGTGTTTTTTGTGCCTAATATCTGTTAGTTTACAAGGGGAGGGAGTCACTTTTACTTTCTACACATGAATGTTCAAATTAAGACTGAATATTACGGGGGAAAATATCAATGAAATACCTACTTGTGTCATTGAAAGGTACTTTTTCATTGATTATGGATAAAGAGTCATCCAATCGTCTACCCAAATCTTCATGAAGGTTCTTTAACTGCTGCTGGCTGGATAGGAAAACCAAGATAGCATTTACAAACCTTGTTTAAGTAAATCAATAACATCTCAATTATACTATAACCTGTAGTCAGCAAATACTGACCACATTTTTGTTAAACAGTTGCTGTGGGGAGAGAGGGGGAAGGAGAGGAGGGAAGGGAGAGAGAGAGAGAGAGCGCAATATGAGTAAGGAGATACAGGAGAAGGCAGAGTAGGACTTTGACATTTATAGCCATTAGAATTTTCAAGCTGTTTATTTTCCTCTCCCAATACAATGAGAAGCACAAAGAAAGCCAAAGGGCTGAATACCACATTGCTTTCTAAGGGTCAATTCATTGTCAAAGAAATCTTTAAAATTATTTTTAAGCTATTCATTACATACACCTTTATAAAAGCAAGGCAGTAAGGATCAGAGTTTATCTTGTAGATACTATACAGTAAAAGCCTCTCAGACATTGCACACACCCGACACCAATAACTTACTTCAGTTAAATTATTTCCATGCGTTAATTGTAACTATGAGTTACAACTTTTTCAGGTAAGTGTCTCTTCTAAGATTACAACACGCTGCTAAAATAACACTTACACAAATTTTCACAAGTATGTAACAGTCTTGCCTACAAAAGAATACCAAACCTAAAGAGCTTGGCCTAACAGGATTTTAACATGTACAAAAGCTGCTGCCTTGTCAGATACTCATGGGAGATAAAGAGATCTCCACGAGAACACAGTAGCTGATCAACATGTAGAGATGAGATCAAATTTATTTCCTTTTGCTAGATAAAATGAAAGTGGCCTTGATACTACTGTTGAATGTACTACTGTTAGGAATTTACCAGAATGAGTTTATATGGCTGCATAAGATTGCTCTGCATACCTAAAGCCGTCATTCTCTGGTTAGTTTATTTTAAGAAAAATAAACATATTTTAATCATATAAGAACTTACCATTCTTCTGCTCGAAATCTACATTCCTTGGCCTCTCTTGCTAGTGTCTGAGACTTGATCTTTATGCAAAAAGAACAGAACCCTACAACGTAAGTACTAATTCATGCAAAAATGTTTTATTTCCAAAACTTTGTAGGCATTTTACTAAGTACAATAGTAAAACTTACTTCTAATTTGGTTTTATCATTCTGCAGTTTTTCTATGGTATCGATGTATTTCCGGGTTAAATCATCCACCACTGCTTGATGCTGGGCAGCGTCTGTTTCCAAAACCTGAAGTCTATTTGTCAGCTCAGCTTCCAAACGTTTGTGCTGCTCATCTGCTTCAAAGAACTACAAATGAGAGAAAGAATTGTCTCATTTGAAATGCTCCTTTTAATCCAATACCATAATTATGTTTATTCATATGGATACCATAGATTCCTACTAGTGAAGGCAAACTTTTACAAGCTATCGGTTCCCATCTGCTTTATTTTATGCAGTTATTTAGTATGCTCACCAACATAGTATCAGATTGCCTCATGAGGAGTACTATAAATCTTGGAGCAAAATGCAGGACAATGTAGCACTTTAAAGACTAACAAGATGGTTTATTAGATGATGAGCTTTCGTGGGCCAGACCCACTTCCTCAGATCAAATAGTGGAAGAAAGTAGTCACAACCATATATACCAAAGGATACAATTAAAAAAAAGAACAAATATGAAAAGGACAAATCACATTGCAGAACAGAAGGAGGAGGCGGGGGGGTGGGAAGGGGGAGGAAGGAAGGTAAGTGTCTGTGAATTGATGATATTAGAGGTAGGGAGAGTGGGATGTTTGTGAGTTAATGGTATTACAGGTGATAATTGGGGAAACTGTCTTGATAATGGGTGAGAAAGTTCAAAGACTTGTTAAGTCCCTGGTGGTAAGTGTCGAATTTTAACATGAATGACAGTTCAGAGGATTCCCTTTCAAGTGCAGATGTAAAAGGTCTTTGTAGCAGAATGCAGGTGGCTAAGTCATTTAGAGAGTGTCCTTTCTGGTTAAAGTGGCAAGAAACTGTTTTCTCTTTGTGATCTTGTCTGATATCTGTTTTGTGGGCATTAATCCTTTGGCGAAGTGTCTGAGATGTTTGTCCAATGTACATAGCAGACGGACACTTTCGGCACATGATAGCGTAGATTATATTTCTGGATGCGCAGGAATATGTGTTCTTGATCTTATAACTCACTTGGTTAGGTCCAATAATGGTATCAGCAGAATGAATATGTGGACAAAGCTGGCAACGGGGTTTGTTGCAAGGGATCCCCCCCGCGTCCTCCTGTGTTCATTTTTTTTAATTGTATCCTTTGGTATATATGGTTGTGACTATTTTCTTCCACTATTTGATCTGAGGAAGTGGGTCTGGCCCACGAAAGCTCATCATCTAATAAACCATCTTGTTAGTCTTTAAAGTGCTACATTGTCCTGCATTTTGCTTCAGCTACCCCAGACTAACACGGCTACATTTCTATCACTATAAATCTTGGAACACTATCATATTGTAACTAGGGATGTTAAAAGTCATTTAATAAGGTAACCGTGTAACTCCTAAAAATCTTATCAATTACACACGCTGCAGGCTCTGCTGTATAAAGCTTAAATAAGTTTCATACTGCAGTCTTCAGCGAAGCCACCCTGGGAGAGGGGCAGAGTTTAACAAATAACATTAACTGATAACATTAAGCGACAAGCACCAGCTTATGCATTAACTGGTAAATCGGCTAAACTCCTAACATCCCTAACTGTAACACTATTAAGAATGCAGCAGCTTCAAATACTCATGGAGGAATTCTATACCAAAAAAAATAAAATAAAAAATAAAAAATTAAAATTCTGCAAAATTCTCCATTTATCAAACTAACACTACATAATCACACCAGTTTCAATTATTTTGGTAATTTATTTAAAAATACCAAAAACCGGCTCTCGTCTACTGCCCCCATCCGCTGGGGGACCCAAGCTCCCCACAGATAGGGGCTGTTCTGGCATCCCACAGAGCAGCCCCTGTCCACAAGGAGTGTGATTTTTAAACCGGCTCCCCTCACAGACCAGCTTTAATACAGAGGCAGCAGCGTGGGATGGAAGAAAGCTCCCTGGGAGTGGGGCTATCAGTGCACTGGCTGCTGGCCCCACACCTGGGAGGTGTATTTTAATAACCATGTAACTGCTAAAAAACTGTCGCGGCTACATGATTACTAAGAAAAATATCTAACCTCCCTATTAAAAATGTCAATTTAATCCACCTATTTGCACAAGCCACTTCTGAAATTTGAGCTAGCACAGAGACAGGTTTAGGATGCTCTGCTCCTCTTTTTCTCCATTGCACTTCACACATAGCCAGCTTTCTAACCTATGTACAAACATTATTTGAGAATTACTCACTTGTATATGTAATCGTTCATTCTCCTCTATCTTCTTTTGAAGATCTTCATCAAAAACACTCTTCTGCTCTTGAGTCAACTGAGATGAAGATTCTCCATTTTTCTGATTAAAAAAATATTTCCATTTATCGAATGAAGTTTTACAGGATACCAATTCCCAATATCAGAGGGGTAGCTGTATTACTCTGTATCCACAAAAACAACAAGGGGTCCTGTGGCACCTTAAAAGAACAACAGATTTATTTGGGCATAAGCTTTCATGGGGAAAAAACCCACTTCAGCAGATGCAACTGACAAAGTGGATTTTTCTGTCCACAAACATAAGAACAGCCACACTGGGTCAGACCAATGGTCCATCCAGCCCGGTATCCCGTCTGGGGCCAATACCAGCCCCAAAGGAAGGGAATACAATAGGTCAGGGCTACTCAACACATGGCCCGTGGGCCACATGGGACCTGTTTGTTTGCGGCCCGCAGTGCAGTTTAAGTTTACGCAGGACTTAACACATGGCCCACGGGTGGGATCCTTTGAACATGGCCTCCACAGGGAACACACTGCACAATGGTGGGGCATCTCCTAGGCAGGGTGAGCAATGAAAGACACAAACGGACAGGCTGGCTGGAACAGATGGGTACAGGGTGTCTGCATTTCTAGCCCACAGGGAGGAGGTGCTAGGAACACAGGGGCATTGTGGGGAGTGCTAGGTGCTGACTGGCTCACAACAGCTACATTTGGGGCCGACGCCATAGTTTAAGGCTTAACCTTTGTATTCATGTCCGCCGGTATGAAAGAAGCTATTTGCTTTTATACTTGCATATACATGCAACCAAACTTAAGTTGCAGCCCTCGGCATGTGCTGGGAGTATCATCATGGCCCCCTGGGCTTCCAAAGTTGAGTAGCCGTTCAACAGGTAATCCTCACGTGATCCCTCCTGTTACCCACCTCCAGAGAAACAGAGGCTAGAGACATCATTCCTACCCATCCTAGCTAATAGCAATTGGTGGACCTAACCTCCATGAATCTATCTAGCTCTTTTGTGAACTCTGTTAAAGTTCTAGCCTTCACCACATCCTCTGGCAAGGAGTTCCACAGGTTGACTGTGCACTGAGTGAAGAAAAACTTCCGTTTGTTTTAAATCTACTGCCTATTCATTTCATTTGGTGACCCGTAGTTCTTATATTGTGGGAATAAGTAAATAACTTTTCCATATTCGCTTTTTCCATACCAGTCATGATTTTATAGACCTCTATCATATCCCCCCTTAGTTTCCTCTTTTCTAAGCTGAAAAGTCCAAGTCTTTTTAATCTCTCTTCATATGGGACCCATTCACAACCCCTAATCATTTTTGTTGCCGTTTTCTGAACCTTTTCCAACGCCAATATATCCCATTCTTGAGATGGAGAGCACATCTGTACATAGTATTAAAGATGTGGGCATATCAGCTGTGTCTAGACTACACCTCTCTGTTGACAGAGAGATGTAGATTAGGTACATCGGAATTGCTAATGAAGCAGGGATTTAAATATCCTGTGCTTCATTAGCATAAACATGGCTGCCGCTTTTTTTTTTTAAACAGAGCTTTTTTGAAAAACAGCAGTCTAGACGCGGATCGATCAAAAATAAATCCTTTTTCGACAGATCCTGTAAACCTCTTTTTTGAGAATTACAGGATCTGTCAACAAAGGGTTTATATTTGACAGATCCGCGTCTGGACTGCCTTTTTTTTTTTTAAACTTCCATTTTGAAAAAAAGCGGTGGCCATGCTTCTGCTAATGAAATGCAAGACACTTAAATCCCTGCTTCATTAGCAATTTCAACATGCTTGATTTTCATCCGTCTGTCGACAGAGGGATGCAATCTAGATGTAGACACCATGGTTTTATATAGAAGCAATAAGATATTTTCTGTCTCATTCTCTATCCCTTTTCAAAAGATTCCTAACATTCTATTTGCTTTTTTGACTGATGCTACACACTGAGTGGATTTTTTCTGAGAACTATCCACAATGACTCCAAGATCTCTCTCCTGAGTAGTTGTAGCCAAATCAGTCACCATCATACTGCTACAAACAGTTAATAGTGCCACAATTTCCCATTTGAGTTCTTTCAGAACTCGTGGGTGAATGTCATCTGGTCCCGGTGATTTGTTACGGTTAACTTTTTCAATTTGTTCCAAAACCACCTCTAATGACACCTGAATCTGGGACAATTCTTCAGAGTTCTCACCTAAAAAGAATGTCTCAGGTTTGGGAATGCTCCTTTCTATTTTCCTCAATAGGATTTGACATCCACTTTCTAAAAAGATGTCTTTATCTGTCACTGCCTTTTTTACTTAGTTGTTAAAGCCATGGTGGCACTTCTTTGGTTCTCTTACTGTGTTTTTTTAATTTGGGGCATACATTTAAGTTGGGCCTCTATTATGGTGTGTCTGAAAAGTTTCCATGCAGCTTGCAGAGATTTTACTTTTGTCACTGTACCTTTTAATTTCTGTTTAATTAACTTCCTCATTTTTTTATAGTTCCCCTTTCTAAAATTAAATGCTACAGTGTTGGGCTGCTAAGGTGTTTTTCCCACCACAGGGATGTTAAATTTTATTACATTAGGGTCACTATTTCCAAGTGGTCCAGTTATAATTACCTCTTGAACCAGATCCTGCGCTCCACTTAGGACTAAATCAAGAATTTCCTCTCCTGTTGTGGGCTCCAGAACCAGCTGCTTCATGAAGCAGTCATTTAAGGTATCAAGAAATTTTATCTTTGCATCCCATCCTGAGGTGATGTGTACCCAGTCAATATGGGAATAGCTGAAATCTCCTAGTTGAAATCCCCCACTTTTACTGAGTTTATTTTGATAGTCTCTCTAATCTGCCGTAGCATTTCATAGTCTCTATCATTGTCCTGATCAGGTGGTCGATAATATATCCCTACTGCTCCATTCTTATTATTGGAGCATGAAACTACTGCCCATAGAGATTCTATGGAACATTTTAGCTCATTTAAGATCTTTACTTCATTTGATTCTACATTTTCTTTCACGTATATTGTCCCTCCCCCACGAGCATGACCTGTTCTATCCTTCCAATATATGTTGTACCCTGGTATGACTGTGTCCTATTGATTGTCCTCATTCCACCAAGTTTCTGTGATGCCTATTATATCAATATCCTCCTTAAAACTAGGCACTCTAATTCGCCCATTTTATTATTTATACTTCTAGCATTTGTGTATAAGCACTTTAAAAATTTATCACTGTTTATCTGTCTGCCATTTCCTGATATGTTAGACACTTTTTCATTTGATTGTGTGTGTGTCTTATCTGATCTGACCCATACTTCTATCCTCTCCTCCTGACTAGAACATAGAGTCTCGTTGATAGACCCTTTTCTCAGAGATGTCTCTGACCGATCCATGTGCTCCTCTACACCCATTGGCTTTACCCCAGTCCTTAGTTTAGAAACTGCCCTACAACCATTTTAATATTAAGTGCCAACGGTCTGGTTCCATTTTGGTTTAGGTGGAGCCCATCCTTCCTGTATAGATCCTGACTTGTCATGACATTTAAAAAGTGATATTGGGTGTAAAAGGTTGGACACCACTGCTGTATAGGCTCCCTCTATCCCAAGTTTCCCCAGTTCCTAATAAATCTAAACCCCTCCTCTGTACACAACTGTCTCACCCGCACATTGAAACTCTGAAGCTCTGCCTACCTACTTGGCCCTGAACATGGAACTGGAAGCAGTTCAGAGAATGCTACCATAGAGGTCCTGGATTTCAATTTGTTTCCTCGCAGGCTAAATTTGGCCTTCATAACCTCTCTCCTACCCTTCCCTATGTCATTGGTAGTTACATGTACCACATGTATGCCAGCTCCTCCGCAGTACTACACAAGTCTATCTAGATGTCTCCAGAGATCCGCAACTTTCACACCAGGCAGGCAAGTCACCATACAGTTCTCCCGATCATCACAAACTCATCTGTCTATGTTTCTAATTATTGAATCCCCCATCACTAACCTGCTTTTCCCTAATGACTGGAGTTACCTCCCCTAGAGATATATCCTCAGTGCGAGAGGATACTGTAACACCCTCTGGGAGGAGGGTCCCAACTACGGGCGCATTTCCCTCTGCTCCAGTTGACTGTTCTTCCCTGAGCCTTTCATTCTCCTTAACACCTATTCAAACAGAAGTTCAAAGACTGCATCAGATCTCAACTTAAACTGCCACAACGGCATTCAAACATTACACTATTAGTACTGGTTAGAAAATGCCAAACAAATTAGTCATTGCTCTAAAAATCCAGTCACAACATTTGTAAAACTATATACACTTAATCAGAGAATGTTTCAGGTAATAGTTTCTTAACACTAAATGTGTGCTCTAGTCGTTCCAAGAAGCAATTAAGGTAAAGTGACTCTTGACACAGAAGCTAACCCGAACAGTGATAGTAGCTGTACTATTAGGTGACAGTGATGACACAAGTAAGTGCTACCTAGGTTACCAGAAAGTGTCAGTGACGAACTTAGAAAGGAAGATTTCAATACAATGTAATTAGTCAAAGTGGCTTTAAAGAGAAAAGGGATGCAACTTAACTGAACAATAATTGAGTGTCAACATTCCTGTTGAACAGAAGGGAAACATGGAAGGCAACATAAATGGCAACGCCTGAGAGGCTACTAAAGCCAAACTGCAACCCTTTACAATTCGGAAGTCTAAACTGATTAAAGCATAAATAGTAGCTGGCAATAAGGAAAATGAAAAGGGCCAAAATGAATTTTAAGGAGCAAATAAACTATGCAAAAATTGATTCTTTAAGGGTATCAGAAGCACAAAGCTTATCAAAGAAAGAGAAGACTTATCTGGTGTTGCTTGAGTCATTCCGGGCAGGGGGGCTGGTGGCATGGGGGACGCAGAAATCAGGGCTGGGGATTGAGGAGGGGCTCATGGCAAGAGATTGGGGTTCAGGAGTCACGGCAGAAGGTTGGGAGAAAGAGGGGGAGCTTAGGGGAGTTGGTGCAGGTGGCTGCTGGCATCTCCACAAAGGCCAGCCCAAGACAACAGGGGCTGTGCACCCTGGCCACCAGCTTGTCTCCGTAGCCAGCCTGGGC